GCTACGGTGACGAGAGCCTTGGTGCTTCTGGAAAATTTTTTGATTGGGGGGTTCAACATAGGGTTTTGGTACTAAGAAAAAATATCTAACCTAGGACTTAAGAAATAATGGTCCTAGTAAGCCGATTTGGCTTGGGGCACGGAGTCCATGGTAGAAAAAGACGTCCCTGTGGCCTAGTGGGAGCACGGTAATTTTTTTTCAGCTCAGGTTCAAATCCCACTTGGTCCAAACTTTTTTTCCAAACTTCTAGTGAAAATACTTACCTCAATCTCATATTTCCAAATCGATATCAAGTGAAAAAATCAAAGTGTTTTGGATTAACACAAATCGAATCCAAAATATCCAAATGACATGTCTCTCCCACCGCACCCATCACTCTTTTATACGCTCGCACCACGAATCATGTCATTTTTTAGTGCACCGGAGCCAGCCTAATCAGTGCTCCCCCACCAACCAGCAAGCTGTCAATTTGTTTGTGTCGTCGAGAGAGTGTGAATAGCCGCGGAGAGAGAGGAGAGCCGATCAAATTCCAACAAAAACAATATATCCACCACCCGAACCGGACTCTTCTTTGATTACACACAGAGAGAGGGGAGAGATTTGATATGGGTGACGCAGCATTTTTTGTAATGAGGGGTGTTGCAATGATGACGAAAAAAATTGGAGTTGGGGGATCAGGAAACACTGTTCGCGAACGGAAGATCAAGTGGATTAGGTGGAGTTGGTTTGGAGTTCCTTATCTTGGTCCATGCGAAAGATATGAGAAAGTGAATGAGAAAAAACTTTCTAGTCAATAAAAATCTTGTATGTGAGTTCATAAAGCAGCTGTTTTCCCACTAGTTAGAGCAGAAATGGAAACCACGGCGGAGTAGGTAGAAAAAGTGGTATTTCTGGTTTGAGGCTTCGTATCTCGGCCATCTTGCAATATACAAAAAAGTGATTAATTGATAAAATGTGCAAAATTTTATAACAAATATTTCTTTAGTTGACAATTTTTTTGTATCTTTATTGGCAACCGAGATATAAAAGCTCAATCAAGGTAGTTCTATTCTAAATAGTGGCTCTTCTCTCTTTTGTGTTTGAGGCTTCATATCTTGGCTCCCAATGAAGATGAAAACAACATGTTCAATTGTCAAAATGTGCAAAATTGCAACAGAAACAACTTCGTAATTAAAGAAAATTGATATCTTCTTTCCAGAAAAAACCAGTACTTCCTCTAGTCCAATGAGGAACGGGAAATCCAGTGAAGTAGGTTGAAGGAGTGGTACCTCTGGGTTGAGGCTTCATATCTCGGCTCCTAAAATAGATACAAAAAAGTAACCAACTAGTAAAATGTGCACAATTTTATAACAAACATTCCTTCAGTTGACAAATTTTTTGTATCTCTATTGGCAACCGAAATATACAAGCTCAAACAAGCAGTACTGTTTCCAAATAGCAGTTCACAGCCATTTTTGCAGCTAGGTTTCTTACAAGAGAATGTTTCACATACATAGGTTATGAAAAAAACTGGTGAAAAAACTATAAACTGGTAATCTGAAAGTGAATGCGTCTATGGGTGGATTCTGAAATTTCTAGCCCTCACTGAAGCCTGATAGTCTGGAAATCTTCATCTGAAAATTTAAATGCTTTTCGATATGGCAACTTTCAGATAAAGGTTTCTAGACTCTCAGGTTCTAGTGAGGGCTAGGATTTTCAGAAACCACCCTACGAGGACAGCTATTTTCAGACACCCAATTTATAGAAAACTCCAAAACCACGCGAGAAAAAATTTCTTTGTTAGGGACAAAAAAATGTATTTTCAACTAACAAAACAATAAAAATCACCCAAGAATCAACTTTGTTAATCATAAAATCCCCTTGTTTCACCACTTGATTTAATCATTCAAAACTTCATCCTTTCCCCCCTTCTTTGCTGCCCCTAACTTCCGCTATTGTGCTCTTTTCACTCGGAGCCCCATCCACTTGACAACAATTTGCCAATTAGAGAGTAGTAGTGCCGTCGTCCCCCCGAAACTCTCTTTATTTTGTTAAGTTAGTTTTCAAGAGAGACATCGACATTTGAACTCCTCTTTGAATGGATAAGTGGATGATGGCATAATCGGAGAAGTTTATGAATGAAGAGGGGGGGGGGGGGTTAAAGGTGAAGTGGAATTTGGAATTAAGAAATTGAAACTTTTGAGGGGAAATCTCGAAAAAATGAGGGAAAAAAAGAAAAGTCAAGTGGTTGGAACATCGAGAATATGTGGAAAATGGTTTTTTTTGGGAGGTGGGGGGGGGGGGGGTGCCGTTGTATTAGAGTGATCAGTGTAGATGTCCGGGTAGCTTGCATAAGCTGGCCCGAGTCTGCACAGCTGGCACGAGTCGCACAGATTTG